TTTAGATCTAGTCTTCTACCTTTCTTAAATATTGGAATTATGATTGATTTATTCCAATCATCTGGGATTTCCTCTAATTCACTGATCTCTCCCCATGGAGCCCCCGTAGGGAGAGCTGGCCCCCTCCCTGTCGGGGAGAAAAAGCACAATTCGTCGGGGAAAAAAATATATGTATTTTTTACATATTAGTAGATTCTAAAATCGATTAAATAAGCATTTGAACCCCTAAATTGTCGAAATTTTCGGGGGCTTCGCCCCCCCAGGGCCACTTTCGGACTTTTGTTTGAAGCTCGACCACGCCCACTTTGCTTTCGTCGGGGAAATATTACACATCGACGGGGGCACCGCCCACCACCGTCGGGGACCTCGGCCCCCGTCGGGCAAATCCTGGCGCCACCCCTGCAGCGAAGTTGAGGGCTTTGGTTAATAGGTTTTCCGATATTGATGGGTAGAATTCAGTCCTAGGTAGCAAGCAAACATGGGCCCCATATGGGAAATGCATGGGCCAAAATGTGGGCCCTTACAGTTTAGCCTATACGGGAATGAGCTGCCTGTGCACCCTAAATCCTTAAGGGTCCCATAATGTTTGACGCAAATTCAAATTTGGGCCCTTTAAAGGATACATTTGGGTCCCTTAAGGTTTGAATTATGGTTTCATTTGGGACCCATATTAGTTTGTCTAAGTTAATTCATGGGCCCATTGTGGGCTCTATCTGGGATTTTAAGGGGCTTAATCGGGGTTGAAATGTAAGGAAAACCTATGAATTGGCCCATATGGGAAAGAGCTGCCTGTGCACCCTAAATCCATATGGGTCCCATAAAGTTGGCCCAAATTAATTTATAGGCCCTTTAAAGAATATATTTGGGCCCCTTAGGTTTGCATTATGGTTTCATTTCGGACCCATATGGGTTTTACCAAATTAATTCATGAGGTCATTATGGGCTATATCTGAGTTTTTCGAGGATTAAAATGTAAGGGCCACTATAAATTGGCCCATACGGGAAAAGAGCTGCCTGTGCGCCTAAAACCCATATTTGGGCTCCTTAGGTTTGCATTATGGTTTTATTTGGGACCCATGTGGGTTTTGTCCAAAATAAGTTACGGGCCCGTGCTGGGCTATATCTGGTTTTTTTCAGAGCTGAATAGGATTTAAAATGTAAGAGGGCCACTAAAATTTGTTGGGTATTGTGTTTTTCACAACTGTTCAACTGGTCCAAGTTTCAACTGGTCTTTAGCTGGTCCCAGTTTCAATTTGGCTTCAGCTGCTGGTCCCAGTTCCATTCGGTCTTTAATTTGTCCCAGTTCTATCTGGTCTTCAATTGGTCCCAGCTCTTTGTTGTAAAATAACAATGGCTTTAATTGACTCCTGTAGACTGACAAAATACACTGAGTTTAAGATATACAAACCATAATTTCTTTAATTAAAAAACATAAGCTTTACTCCATAGGGTAGGGACTTGCATACCCCTTCGCATATCCTTTTGCTTAAGTCTTTACTGTAACCCTTACAGTCCTGTTTATATCAGCATTTTTGTCTGTAATTATAAGCCTGTTATATTATAGCATCACTAGAGTTTATAATATAGAGCCATATTCAAGGATCGTTTCCGTCAGGCGTGCATATAAACCTACATTCATTGTGTATTGAAGCAGCATCTCTCCATAACCATGCATTTTCTTGTCCGATGACAAGGTAAATGAAGAACCTTACTAAAATTTAAGATAGTATGAATTCTGCAATTGAACAAATCAAGTTTGAAATATTGAATCATAATGTCTTGTTGGTATTAACTTTTTTTCGGAGTTCCACAATTGCTGAAAGATATAAAAAAATAAAAACATTTTTAAAACAGAGCTGAGCGAAACATGCATTTAATAGTCCTTGGCATTTAAAAAAAAGTGATTGAAAACTCACACATACAGGTCAAGATAAAAAAAATCAGGGGCAGGGTACAGTACAAAAAACATTCCTACTCAAATCTAAAATCTGTTATTTCCCTTCAAAATCAATGTTATTAAAATAAGAGTACGATATACATAATTTACTGTAGCTAAGATAATAGACTAGCAGTTCTTTATTTTATCAAAAGTGAATTATCAGTTCCGATCCTTGCCTTTTTTTTTTTTTTTAGTTTTCTAAACAGCTTTAAATTTAATGTTGTGCAAACAGAACATTACGGTGTTACAGTGATATCCATTATAGGCCTATTACATACACATTATATTTTATTAGTTATAACCTCCATCATGGTAGTAAGTACAGTACAGTGTGTCTATTTGGAGTATGATTCATAATCAGAACCTACAGTACAGTAGGCCCCTAAACTTAAAACCTTAACAAAACATTTTATTCACCTTTGAAAGTCAGGCAATTTTCTGTTTCCGCATCTGCCACAATAAGGCTTCAAACAGACATCACTTTACCGAGAAAACTGCTGAGACTGAGTGACCAATTTATTAATATTAGTGATTAAGCCCTAGGCCTACATACAGTAACTGTCGCCAAAAATACTGAAAGTTTACCCCTCAACCCATTGTTTCATTATTTAGCATGGACTTATAATAAGTGAGAACACGGCCTAATTTACCAATGGGGCAAGGCAACAGTTTGGGTAGTCCGACGAATTACTCCAATAATTACTCAATGTCGACACAAAAAACTAAGAAAAAGAAATCCCAATTGTTAAGGGTCAAAATTGGTTTACGAAGTAACACATGCAGTCTATTTATTATTATTACTGTACCAAGGAAATGTTTATATAAACATGTGATGAAATTAGTTACGGTATTGTATTTGTCTGAATGTATTTCAGACTTGTTTCACTTTCCCTTAATTAACAATGTTCTATTTATTATTATTACTGTACCAAGGAAACGTTTATATAAACATGTGATGAAATTAGTTATTGTATTTGTCTTAATGTATTTCAGTCTTGTTTCACTTTCAATCAATTAACAATGATTTTGGTGAGAAAGTAGTAGTTGTGTCCCATCGACCATCTTGGATTTGCCATCTCAAAGTTTAAAAAAAGTGCCCTCATTCTCCATTTTTCAAATATTAGGAAAGAAACTACTTTTTTAAAATATGGCCTAGCTGCAAAACTCTTGGAAAATTTCCTAATGTTGTACTTTACAGTTATTCTTGCATTATTAATTATTCTACTGCATTCAACAGTATTGGAGTATATTCATAAAATAATAATTTATGTTTCTGAATAAATAATTTTTTAGTTGATAATGTACATTTGTATCTATCGAGCTCTGATAAATATATCATGACACATTGTAAAAGATATACTGTCCCTCATTTCACGGAAAAGCGTCCACTTAATAGGGTTGACCTCTGAATAGGGGTGTCCCAAAGGAGGGGTTCTACTGTATTCATAAAAATATACATCACTTTATAAAGGTATATTAAATTTCTAATAAAAAATAAATTATTAATAGGCTTAATAATACGGATGATAATAATAATAACAAAAGTAATAGTGGTAATAAAAATCTTTAATATTATTAATAATAATGATAATAGTAATAATATCAAAATAAAAGTAGATATAGTAATAATTTATAATAATAATAATAATAATAATAATAATAATAATAATAATAATAATATATGATATAGTAATATAAAATAATTGTGGTATCATTTAGGTAATTCTGTATCATTGAGTAATTACGAATTAAGAGACGCTTACTATGTAATTTCAAAACAAAATTTAATGACAAGAAAGTTCGACGTTTCGGGTCCATCATGGAACCATTCTCAAGATCAAGTAAATTGAAAAAACAAAACAAAAAACAAAAACAAAAATACCAAGCAGTGACAGGAAGGAAGTAATTAATTTACATATCTATGGTATAATAAAAGTTACGTCTAGGCCTAAATACAGAAATAATCTATGTCCGAAAATATTACGCAAATAACGTTAGAAACAGATAAAACCAATAAATCAATACCTACAGATGGCAATTCGTCGGACCTCTTTTTTAGCTAGGTCAACAAAAACCTCCCTCGGCCTAGACCAGCAGGCTGTATGCTCAGCTAGTTCTGTAGTACTAGATTAGAGGGTCTAGGCCTCGTTATGTCCTTAATAAATACCTCATTGTTCCTACTAACTACACTACTAGGATACTGCTACACCAGGAAGATACACTGGTATAGTAAACCACATTAACTGAATCAATAATTGAAACAAAACTCTTACCCCTTTATACTGCTGAAATACTTCCAAGTCTATGTTTAAACCGCCTATCATCAAGAGCTGTGACTGTACAAATTAACTGATAAAAATTCCAAAAAGAGAGCATCAATGATGCAATAGCCCACTTGACAATAGCTGGCAATTTTTAAGTGCTGTAGGTAGGTGGAGGTTGTGTGGAGTGTTGTTATGTGTATTGAACATAAAGAAAAACGTTTAAAGTTATAGTAGTTGTATGCATCAACATAGACCTTTTTTTGTTATGTTCACTTAACAGTTAGGAAAGGTGTGATGTCTTGTACAGTGATATTAAAGGAAATATGGTTGTTGTAATGTTGTTTACGTAACATTTTGAAATGTTTTGTACTGTAATTATGAAGATATTTATGTAGAGGTTTATGATATAAGTAGACAGTTTGGTGAGTGAATGGAATTTGTTGCATAAAAGTATTTCGTTGTGAAGAAATATGTTTTTCCAAAGGAGCATTATAATTACGTATATCATTTGTCTTTGTTAATTAGTTAAACATGCAGCTTTGTTTGAGAAAGGCTAAATAACTTCTTGGCTGACGTCAGAACTTGATGTATGTATATGTTTATATGTATATGTATTGTCTCTTATACACATCTAGATGTGTATAAGAGACAGAAGTAATAGTGGTAATAAA